AGTTTCCGAAAATTGAGTTTAGCAACAAAAGTATATTACCCAGCAGATAAAATCTAGGAAATTAAATTTGTCATACTTTTGTTGCTAAACTCAATTTTCGGAAACTCTTCCTTCCTGGTGAAAAGTCAGAAATACCACTTATTTGGCTTATTTCTGGTTTTGTACACCGTGCATCTTTCTTCCGGGATGAACAGTTGTTGATTGAACAACAGATGCTTCTTTCACATTGTGTCAAACGTATTTTCAAGAACTTGTGTAACATTTTCGGTTATGATCGGTTTCGGTTAACCGGTCAAAAACCGAAACCGGTGGATGCTTAGACGATAGACACTATCTTGTTTCTATTGTTCTGCGTTGAAAGTTCGTCTTCTAATCAACTGTTTTTTTGTAGTTTGAATTGCATCAACTGTTTTAGTTCATTAGGCAAATAATAAAGGGTTTAACGAATTCTTAAATGATAACAAAATTATTCGTCGTTTTTATCTAAAGATTTCTTGTCTAGGTTTGAGTTAAGTTTTCCATTTTTATTTTCTTATACATTTATCAAATAATAAATAATATTTTCTATTTTTCTTTATGGATTCTTCAGATTTACTGTTGGTATTTCAGTAAGTGAAAAGCCTTTACGGTGCCGGAAACAGGAAAAGTTGGCAAATGATTATTTAATAGGCAGAAAAGTAGATACGATAACCATTTAATGGGTTCCAACTACTACTGAATCTGTTCTAAACAGACGGTGCGTAAAAAGGTAGCCCACATATAGTATGAATATGGATGAAGTGTGGTATATCCCTTATTGGACGATGTGTACCACGTTTCATCCGTCGTTTTTGTACACTTGAAGTGTAAAACTTTTTTGTAGTGTATTGTGGATTTTCTAAACGGTATAAAAAAGAAGAAGGAAAATTCTCGTATTTCCAGAAAATACGAAAAGAAAATTTTTTCCAAACGAATTGTGAGAAAGATCGTCCGTTCACTGTGATTTTATATAGATTGAAACAAACACTTTTTTGGAAATTATTCAGAATATTTGAAGTAGCACGAAAAATAAGTTCATTGAATTAAAGCTCTCTAGTTTAATGAGAAAATATTTGCGGTTGTTTTTGTTTATTTTTTAGATTTTACCATAATTGTAGTAACTACATTTCGCTATCCCGCTAAAGCTTCGAATGGTTTAAGATTAAGTATTCTAAAAAATCTTGTGCAATGAATATACGTTACGCAAGGTATAGACAAGATTTTTTGGCAACTGTTATGTCAGTCCATTAGAAGATCAATATTTTTTGCATTATTTATCTTATTTGTTGTCACTACCATGTCATCATTAAATAATTCACCGATGCAACAACATTCACCCGTACGCTCTTATGGCATTACGCAACCAATTTCTATTCGTGGTCCCGATTCGAATGATTATGAGTTGACACGTAAACTAGAAGATACGTTAAAAAATTGTGATTATTTTGAATCCAAGGCCGAATCATTACATCGTAAGGAAGTTTTGGCAAGCATAAATGATTTAGTTAAAGAGTGGGTACGTGAAATTTCATTAAGTAAAAAAAAATGTCAAGAAACTGCTGAAACAGTAGAAGCTCGAGTATGTACTTTTGGATCATATCGTCTTGGTGTGCATTCAAAAGGCGGAGATATTGATGTATTAGCGATCGGTAAGAGACTCTTGTAATTATTGTATATTATCGTTTCACCATTATTTATTCGGCTACTTTAGCGCCAAGACATATCGATCGAGATGACTTTTTTCACTTATTTGTGAATCGTTTACGTGGTCGACCTGAAGTACGTGATTTACGTTGTGTTGAGGAAGCATTTGTACCTGTTGTTAAAATGACATATGATGGTATTGAATTGGATATACTATTTGCACGATTATCTCAAGCCAGTATTCCAGAAAGTTTAGATTTAAAAGATGATCAAATATTAAACAATTTAGATCTACGTTGTGCAAGAAGTTTAAATGGATGCCGTGTTACAGATGAAATATTAGATTTAGTGCCAGATCGTGAAACATTTAGATCAACGTTAAGAGCAATTAAATTATGGGCAAAACGGAATGGACTTTATAGTAATGCATTAGGATTTTTTGGTGGTGTTACGTGGGCGATGTTAGTGGCATATGTATGTCAGCTATATCCAAATGCAATTGCAGGCAAGTTTACAAAATACACGTGTGCTATTTTAGAGTGACGCAATCAGAATTCGACAATTAACTGTTTCCATTTGTTTTGTTTTTTGTATCCGCAGTAAATGAGTTAACCATTATGATATATCGGTCATGATGTGTCATAGTTATTGTTTTTTATTTTCTAGGTACGCTTGTTCATAAGTTTTTTCTTGTCTTCTCCGGTTGGGAATGGCCAAGACCTGTCTTATTGAAAACTGTGCATGATGGACGATTGGGATTTCCTGTATGGGATCCCTTCACAAATACAGCTGATCGATATCACCTGATGCCCATTATTACACCAGCATATCCACAACAGAATTCAACACATAATGTCACATTATCAACACAAAAAATAATCGTTGATGAAATAAAACGTGGTTTAAAAACTGTCACCGACATTATGCATAATAAATTAGAATGGAAAGAATTATTCACAGGATTAGATTTTTTTCAGCGTTATAGACATTATATTATTTTGCTATTAAGTGCACGAGACCAAAAGCAATTTCTTAAATGGAGTGGGTTAGTTGAAGCAAAAATTCGAGTTTTAATTGGACTTTTAGAACGTAACACATACATTGATATTGCACATGTATGCAGTGATAAACTTCCACCTCCCGAAAATTTACATGAACAGTCAAAGCAGCAGCAATCGCCTCCTTCAATACCAACAGTGACAAATGTAGCAGCATCGATAGAGAATACTTTAGGTAAGTCATGCTGATTGGTTTTCATTCATTGAGCCATTTCACATGTGGAATAAATTTTGTTTAGATAATGCAAAGATTCCATCTACAACTAATCTTACTGGCATGTGGGTCGTTGGTCTAAAATTTAAAAATGTTGATCGTGTACAATTAGATTTGACTGAAGAAATACGTAGTTTTACAAATGTCGTTTATAAATCAGTTAATGCTAGTGGAATGTCACGTGATAATTTGGATGCACGGTATGTTTATTTCATGTTGATTCTTTTGCACCATGCCTCTTTTTCTTTTTTTAGTTATATTCGTAAGCGTGATTTATACACAATTTTACCACATCTTGGAAAACCAAAACCAGGATCAATTCCACGTAGAATTCCAATTCCACGTGAAACAATTGTCACAGATTATAAATCAGAGCAAGACGCCGGAATGGATGTACCTACGAATATTGATCATCTTACTGATTGTACAAACAAACACGACCAAACAATATTACCAATAGAAATTGGTAGCCAGTCAACAGCAATTGCTGTTAATAATACCGGTATCTTACCTATATATCGTTCTTCATCCGAACAAACATTATTATGTAACTTAACTCCGGTTGAAAATGTGCAAAAACTTATAGCAGCCAGCTCAGAACCAACGGCGATTGCATTATCGCCCTCAATGTCCTCTACCATTACAACAAAGCGACAAGTTTTTCATGATGATATAACAAATAACGGTTTATCAGATGAACAACAAACTGTTGTTGATGGTACTGCATTGTCAAATAATACAAAACGTAAATTATCATCGAGTGAAGATGAAATAACATCGACAAATGATGCAAGTGTTCATGTAATTAAGAAAGCAAAATTTGGGGAACAACAATCTATTTTAACAAATGAAATTATAGTGAGAAATAAAGTAAGTATATATAATATTGCCGTGATGCCTCTGCCATACTTTTTGTCATTTTAGACAGCAGAGCAACCATCAACGTATCCTTCCCCTCATCGAACATTTATTAGTCAAAATTCAAATGACAGTACTGGAAGTACAGAATCTGCTGTAAGTTTCTCTTAACAAGCTAAAACAATCTCTCAAATATAAAAGAAACAAAATAATTTCCTCAGAATTCGAAGAGAAATGATGATTACATGTATTTCTTCTCTTTAGATTTACATATCTCCCTTGAAGCGGAGCTGTATTCCACAAGCAGATTCCCCTCGTACAGATGATATAAGTGAAAATCAATCATTCTCTTCATCCATAACAGGAAAATATTCACGAGCTCAAATCGATTCGTCGTCCCCACGTTCAACATTCTTAACGGCTACTGATTCGATAAATGATAAATCGCATATGCTGCCGCGAAAACGACGTCGTATTGATACAGGATCAGAAACAGATAGTAATAATTATCGTCAAAATTCATTGCCTTCGGTTTCACCAATAATAACACATTCACCGCCACATGATATGTGCGATGATGATGAAATACATGGCCAACAAAAATTAAATACTCGAATAATATTAAATAGCCATGCATTAAATAAAGGATTTTCTTATTTTAAACTAAACACCAAAACAGAGAATGCCGCATCGTGCAATACTCGTATGTTTTAGAACTATGATTATTTTGATATTGTCATGTTCTTTTCTTGTTCAGTTTTTTTTTCGATTTGTTGATTTCTCTTACTCTTTTCTTATTTAAAAGAGATGTGACGAAATATTATGTTATTTTGCATTATACGTTTCCTTGTTTTTTACACTGACTCTTTTCTTTCTTCTTTCGTATCTCTTGTACAGAGTATCTGCATGCGAAAAAAAATGAAACAAAAAATTTTATGCTCGTCATAAGAAAAATTGAATCTGTTTTGTATATATATATACATATATATATGTGTATGTGTGTGTGTATGCGTATCGCGCCTTTGGTCTTTTCTACCTTTTTGCGTTCACTATCTTCTAATTGAATCACACAAATCCAGCTCTATATATGAAATAAGTTGTCCATGTTTGTTTTCTTATTTCACGTTGTGGTTTGTGAATTTTAAACTCTCATTTTTTTGTTTGTTTGTCAGACATTGCTTCATGATCTTTTTATCTGTTGTTTTCGTTTTTTCTTGTTTGTTTGTTTGTTCTTTTAAGATGTATATATTGGTAGATGTACTACTTGACTAAAAACAAGTAAAAAAATAATAAAATAAAAATAAACAGATGCACATACCAAATGAACTTTTTCTTGAACAGTTTGTGAACATGTATATTCATTAAATTAGGGTTGAAAACTATATCTAAAGAAAAACATCTACTATTTCAAACTGATGATATACGTGTAAATTTGATCATTTCTTCAAGAATATTTTTCTTTTTTAAACTGGCTAATTGTACATCTTTTTATACTCTTAAACATCTCTTAGTACATGCTGTTATTCGCTAAGAGTGGTTAATAGTTCAAAGTTTGATAGTAGATACTACAAACTTTCACGATTCCACAAATTGGTATCTCTCTATTGAATTTCGTTTGTGAAAATGTTCTAACGTTTTTATACATACATTTTAGATAATGTCTGTTGTATTAGAAACGACATTAGGCAATCTAATAATTGATTTATATTATGATGAACGTCCGATATGTTGTAAAAATTTTCTTCTACTATGTAAAATGAAATATTATAATTTTTGTTTATTTCATTCCATTCAAACAAATTTCATTGCTCAATCCGGTGATCCAACGGGTACTGGTCGTGGGGGTGAATCTATTTATAAACAATTGTATGGTGAACAAGCTACTTATTTTGATATGGAAAAAAAACCTATAATAAAACATCGTAAACGTGGTTGTATATCAATGGTCAATAATAAATTTAATCAACATGGTTCACAATTTTTTCTTACATTATTTCCTGAATTAGATTCATTAGATGATATTCATACGGTATTTGGTGAAGTTGTGGATGGTTTCGATGTATTAGATAAATTGAGTATATCTGTTTGCAATAAAGAATATCGACCTTATCATGATATAAGAATATTACATACTGTTATATTGAATAATCCTTATGAATCAATACCAACAACATTAAAATATCCATCTCGTTCACCATCACCAACGTTGGAACGTATACAATCATCAATGATTAGTTTTGATGAATTATTTGATGAAGGTCAAATAAATGGAAAAACAGACGAAGAAACTAAAAATTATATTGAAGAAAAAGAGGCACAAGCACGTGCACAAATTCTTGAATTAATTGGTGATTTACCTGAAGCTGATATTAAACCACCAGAGAATGTTTTATTTGTATGTAAATTAAATCAAATAACGACTGATGAAGATTTAGAAACAATATTTTCTCGATTTGGTGAAATTATAAGTTGTGAAATTGTACGAGATAAAAAAACAAATGAATCTTTATGTTATGCATTTATTGAATATGTAAATCAAGATGATTGTGAACAAGCCTATTTTAAAATGGATAATGTTTTAATTGATGATAGACGAATTCGAGTCGATTTTAGTCAATCGGTTGCCAAATCAAAATGGGAGCTTGAACAAAAACAACGAGCAGTAAAAGGCAGAAAGCAACAATCTTCTTCTAACCAACAAAATCGTTCTCCACATTCATCAACTTCTCGTAAGAAAAATGAATCTCCTCATCGTATTAAAAGAGAACAATCTTCTTCTAACCAACAAAATCGTTCTCCACCTTCATCAACTTTTCGTAAGAAAAATGAATCTCCTCATCGTATTAAAAGAGAATATTCACCTTCGAGAAATAATGGTCATAACAAACGACGTTCTCCTTTGCCTCCTAAAAAACGTCGCTCTTCTTCATCTTCTTCTTCTTCATCTTCAAATAGTCCGATACATAAGTCGAAAAAAACTGATTATTCACATAGACATCATCGACATCACCATTCTTCTTCTTCTAAACATGATAGAAGAAAACATTAAAGCACATTCTATTTTCTTACTTGTTGTTTTTTACGTATCTGTTTGTATGAATGTTAATAAAGGCTAGTCCTGGAATACTCAAAATAAAAAAATTTTGTATTTTTATTTGAATAGAAGACAATACTAACTGAACAGTCTTCGTTTCTTCAATGTAAAGTAAACCAAAGCACATTCTACAAAAGGGTAATTTGACCAAAAACTGTGATTAAACAAATAAAATAATGTTTTATTGTTCAATGAAATTAATTCTTCAATTTCCTTAGCAACAAAGCCAATAAAAACCCATGTATCGTAATATCGTTTAAGGTTTGTTCTTACATAATTTGTACTCAATCTCGTCAACCTCTCATCTCTTTTAATATTCTCTAATTTGGTCATTTATTTGCATTTCAAATAGCCTATCTTCAGATAATCCTACGCAAAAAGATCACTTTCATAGTTTCAATGTAAATTACAAAGTGAGAAAATGTGGCAGTAGGAAAAAGCTATATCAAAATACAGTTTTAATATGTTTTGACATTATTGTAAATTTTTCTAGAAAAACTAGAGATAAAGAGAAAAATACAAATCATAACGTGTTATTGATAACACTGATAGAGCGTGTAAACGAGGTTCAATTCGACAATCGTAGCGAATAGTCGTCCGATTATTATGTTTAAAGATTCCTAGAATAGCATTTGTACTCTCTCAGAGTACTTTTTATCACAGTCATACTGTAAATCAAAGTACTCCGTACTCTTTTTCCATTTAAATGTTCACGTATTAATAAATGAACATCAGATTATTGAAAAGTTGTTTGTTCACTAAAAAATGTATTTTTGTTTTTAAATTGGCTACTAAACTATTTATTTCATCTATTGAACGTATAAAAATGAAAGCTAAAATTGAACATGGTACACAAGCCGTACGTCATATCTAAGGTAACACTTGTGTATTTTCACTATCTTTTTCTTTTTTTGTCTGTTAAAACTGTTATTGTGTTCTGTATATTATTTGTTATAAAACAGTAAAGAACATAATAGGAAAAAAACGTACAGTAAATTTGTTAAATATGAAAAATAATGAAGAGAAGAAGAAAAACAATAAAAAAACAGAACTTGAGATTGAAAATGAAAAAATAATAGATTTTTTTTTAAATAGAAGAAGAGTGATATGTAATGAAACCTTTTCAACTTTTGTTAGAATTATTCAGAAGAAATATCAATTGAACAACGAGAGATTTATTAGTTAATCAATTTTCCTACAAGGATTTGAAGTTTCAAGTGTTTATTTGAATGAAGAAAAAAAAACGAAATTTCAGCTATTTTATTATTAAAAAATGAACTTTTTTATTCTTCTATTATTTACATGATTATATGAGATGACATGTAAGATAATCAAAATATATATACACACACACAACACTCACATAAATACATTGTCATAGAATTGAAAACAAAAAGCTTACGACAATAATAGTTGTTAAATATAAGGATGGAGGTTAGTACTACACCGGTGATGGATCGATTAACTCATTCGGTTATTAAAGAAACATCAAAAAATTTGTAAGCAAAATTAATTAAATTTAATACAATATCTAATTTCATTTATATCTATTTTAAGAAAGTATTATTTTGATGTTAAACGAAGAGAAAATGCTTTTATTTTAAATACAAATAGTCAATATGATTATCTACCATTAAGAGCTGTAAGTGTATGTTATACAATTTTTTAATTCTATAGGTAATAAAATGATATAACACATTGAATTATGAACTATCCTTTTTGTTTCTCTCTAGAAAGTAATCGCAATGGTTTTTTGAAAAACCATGGTTGTTCCTGATATAATAAAAATCTAAGAATCTTGTTATGTAGTTGAGAAGATAAGGACCAAACTTTTTAGTTAAAATTGAATGATTCTTGTGCGATCAGAAGTTTTCAAAGATTAACAGATAAAATATGATAAAATTTTACCTAATAATATCGTCGATTAATCTCTATTACAGAAAAAATATCGAATTACTTTTCATTGTTTTCAGAAAAGATTGATCATGCACCTCTGTTCATTCTTACATTCATAAAATTTCAAAAGCTAATCGGAAAGTGTCGATTTATCAGATTAAATGCATAATTTTATGCAAAAAAAAAAATCTAACTAATAGCGTAATTATTTCTTTAGCGATCAATATACGGAACTATCAAACAATATCCACCAGTTTATGGATCATGCTATAGTGACAATGATGTTAAATCACATTTAAGGATGTGGAAATCGCAACGTGTACGTACATTGAACAGCCATCTTTTCTGCCTTTCACAGAAAAATTCCACGTTTTTTACCAATAAAATCTACTAATACACAAACTTATCTTCAATAAGAAAGGTTATTAACTTGAAAAAGTTTTTAAAACAAAGGAACGGGTGAAAAGCTTTTTCTCGCTTTTCAGACATCTCTGGTTGAATATATTTTATAACTCTAAAATATTAAATATTTTAAGTTACCATTAAAAAATGTACCGGAAAAGAAAATGTGTCGAGAAGAGCTTAATTTTCATATGAAAGCCTACAATTTTATGGTAAAAGAAACACGATACATATGATGAATGAAGAATTAATATCCTGACATATTTTTAGCCATCTGAAAGTCCAAGAGTGCCTGATCTTCGTTTAAAACCATTGCGCTCCACCTCATCCTGTAGTTTGTATGCAATCAAAAAAAAATTGCTTTAATAGACAAAGTTAACGATGAATTTTGTCCTTTTGTAGAAATTCTAGTTATATGAATAATCGAGATATTATGCGTATGCTACCGAACACTGGCTCCAAACTGACTCGTCTTGAACAAGATCAATTACTTGATGATGCAGCAAATATATTAGCAGTAAACTTAGATATTTTCCCTGTTACTTTTGAATCGTAAAAAACGAATTTTTTAATAATTAGTTTTTTACTTCAGACAATGGTAAAGAGTCGCCGATCATTTTATGAATCATCGTTATTGCATAAGGTATGGTCGTGTTCTATTTTTTTAAATTATATTGATTACATGTGTAGAGCACAATTGTTTAGGTTAGTCCTGCTATCACTCAAACAAATTTGAATGATACTCCAAGACACCACAAGTAAGACGTTTGAACATGATTTTTCAAATACAATTTGTTGATAATGCTTTTCTTCCTAAACATTTCGATAAAGCGTCTGAAAGGTTCCCAAGCGACTGACAGTTGTGAGTAGATCTGGTATGATTCAGGATTTTCGTTCTTCTAACGTCCAGAACTAAGAACAATCGAACAGTTTGTGTTCATAGGAACGACTCATTAATTCTAGTTCCTTCGAACGAGAACTACAGTTGTTTTTAGACGAGAAACTGTTGATACTCTGATTCCTAGTGCTCTGTTAATTTATTTTGTATTCAGAGAGCAAACATTTTGGACGAGCGAGCAAACTTAAGGAGAGCATAAACAGTTTCTCGTCTAAAAACAACTGTAGTTCTCGTTCGAAGGAACTAGAACTGTTGCGTCGTTCCTATGAAGGTAAACTGTTCGATTATTCTTAATTCTGGACGAAAACTGAAAAACAGGTCCAGTTTCACAATCTTGAACTGAAAAGTTGTTCCCGTTATGGAGGAACTGCAAACATGACGGGTGCTATATTACACTTTGATTGTCACATCTTGTTCACCGAGTTTTGTTTTATTTTAAGGGAAACCTCTGGTTCACTTCGAACGGAAACACTTCCTATGGACAAATATCCAATTATACGCAAAGAAAATAATACGAATAAGAAACGAGTTACAGAAAATATTTTAGCTAGAGCAGCTTCAATAGTCAGTATCAAAAAATGTGTTGACATGTGAGATAAACATAATGTATCATATTTTTAGATGAGAAATGCAAGACGTATAACCAAAGGTTACTTATGTGAATATAAAATATCAATTACAACCGGATCATGCAATGGAGGTACCAATTAAGAATATTAAAAAAAAGTAGTTTAATTTATTTTCTTTCTAATGTTTTGAGCCTCAACAAATGGACTTATTAGAATAATGTTATATGGTACAAATGGTACAAGTGGATTTATCGAACTTTCACAATCCGAATCTCATAGAGTACCATTTCTTAAAGGACAAATCAATATTTTTTCTGTAAAAACGTATTATGTTGGTGATTTAGTTGGTATAACTATTGGACATGATCGAACAGATATGAGTATATTATCTATTACATCCTCAATAAATGAACTTTTTCCTAATATTTATTGCTAATTCAACTGAGTATAACTATATTTAGCTGCATTAGCAATAAATATTATTCAAAAAAAGGGTTATCTTTAACTGATAAAAATATTGAACTTTTTTCCTGAAAGAGAGAGTTTTCCAACTGTCACGAATATGATATAGTAAACAGTTATTTTTACTTAGGATCTTCTTGGTATTTGAGTGAAGTGACAATTGATGATTCTATTCGATGTGCGACATATTATATTCGTTGTAATAGCTGGTTATCGAGTAAATCGATTGATCAAAAAACGTATAGAGATTTTCAAGTATCAAACATTATTTCACACATGAAAAAAACGCAGGAGGAATCAGGTTCATGTATTTAATTAACTAACTACGAATTTGGTAACTATAATTTCTATTTTTTATATTTTAGTACATCGTACAGATGAACTTGAAGATGGTGAAAATACTGTGGTTTCAAAGTCGTCTACCATGCTGACTCAAACTGGTTTATTAGGAGTTATTGAGAAAACACATCGTCGTTTGACAATCACGGCAGATGATGTACTACAAACAGACAATAATAAACAAATAGCTACAACAAATGTCGAGACAAATCCAGAGTATAATAATACGTTAGAATCACAATTTAGAATAGATATTCAGCAACGATCACCATCTGTGTCTGCCCAGAGTACATCATCAGTATCGGAAATGACCGCAACTCCTATACAATCAACAACTGAACCAATACCATTCGATATTCAATTGAATCCAAATATAATGTTGTCAAAACGACGTTCAATTGAAACTATTCCTGTTACACCAACGTTACCAACTCGTCCACCAGCACGTCTCGAAAAACGTACAAGTTCAACTAGTTTAACATCAAAAACACCTAGTGAAATAAAACAACAAAGTCGTTTATCAAATTCGGAAAACAAACCTACAACAAATAAAAATGAAGATGATATATTTAAATATTTTGATTAAAATGTAATTGTTGTTCATTAAAGTAATAACTGTATAAACTTTGTAAAGAATTATAGAATTAAAAATAATACAATATTTTATAACAAAAAGAGAAAAACTCTAAGAGAATAAAAGTTTTTCTAAACAAAAAATGATAGAATAGTGATATGCCGCTTGTCTTTTATTGTTTTCTATTCTAAGACAATAGATATAATTATTATCATTAGTAATGTAGTTAGTATACATGATATGATAAATCAGGCTAACAGGCTAAATTATCTTTCTTGTTTTTGAAAGAAAAATTGTTTTAATTTTGCTAAGTATCTATATCATTTGTCTAAAGTAAATAAAATTAATTTCCAATTAATCACTCACCCATTCTTTATTCAGACGTGTTAGTGTTATCGCGTCTATGATAATGTCCAGACACACAGGAAAAAGAAGAACAAAAATAAGCACCATCATACTAATATATCTTTCGTTATACAATAAAATTAAGTGGCTATTTTGAACTATACCAGATACATATTTTTAATAAGCTAAACATAATTGTATATACACAGTATAATACTACCACTCCCCATTTAACTTGAAAATTAAATATTTCTGTTTTAAATAAAATATGAGAAACAGTATCCTGTTTTATTGAAAAACAATTATTATATTCAAATTTTTTCTAATTGACTAGAAGTCAATAAAACATTTTTTTTTCTTTCTAAAGTTTATTGGTTTTTTTTCTTGTTGAGAAAAAGTTCTCTAATAAAAGATACCGCTCATTATTGAACTAAATCTTCTCAATTATCTAGATTAAATTCCAAATATTCTCTAGAGTAACTTCAATCTTAAGTGATAAAACTGTTATTAATTTAAGAAACAATATAAAGAAACAAAGTTGACTAATCTTTTTCATTTTTATTGAAGATATAATAATTTGTACAAAATATCTCAATTGTATTAGATTGTTTTATTTACTTCCTAACTCGTTTAACACTTCTAGTAAAATATTTTTGAAAAAAATAAAATTTTTATTTTCTCAACTGTTGAGTTTCATTCAAGCTAACATTAGCTCTATATGAGATGACAAAACATCAACAAAAGATTTCTAAAAAAAGATAAATAATATTCTTGATATATATCTAAGATCAAAAGATAGCTAAAATTTGATATTTTTTTTATAAAGTCAAAGAGCAGAATAAAATGCTTAAACATACGTTTAATACGTATCTTCGTAATCAAGAGAGAAACAATCATTCAATATTTATGTCAACTCTGTTACACGAATAAAACGAAAATGGAAAGATTGTAGTCTAAAACAATAGGAGTGCATCAGAATTTCTACTTCTGTTTATATTTTACTGAAAATGGTTTTATATTTATACATAATACACAAAACACAATTGTATGCTTATTGAAAAAAACAGTTATTTTCTTCTCTTCTTTTTTTTTTTCTTTTTGTTATTTTTTGTAAAAACAGAATCAAGTTAACTATGAATTGTCATCTGTTTAATATCAATATTCGTGTATGACACTGTTCACTAAGAGTTCTGACAATAAAACTAAAAAATTTGTCCAATAAATGTACATTTAACACGTTATCTTCTTCTATTTCTCTAAAATAAATTATTCTATCAACAGAATAGATAGATCGATCTATTTATTGATTAAAAGATCTAGTTGTTGTAGATTAATGATAATAATACAGAAGAGGACAGACACACACGCACATACGACGAAGAGTCTGTGTGAGCTTTGTTAGAGATATTATATTATTAATATAAAATATAAAACTATTAGTCCCAATAGCACAAACATAAAGAGAAAGATCAGCTAAAGAACAAAAACGCGATTAAAAATACAAAAAAACATTCCCATTAGACATTTATTTGAAAGTAATTAATATTATCATCATCATTCGAAATTAGTAAAGCAACACACAGACCTTCGAATTCGAGCAGTTGTTAACTAGTAGTCTTTCACCGGTGTGGAACGATTCTTTTTTTTTTTCTTCTTCTTCTTCTTCCCCTCAATAGTAAGGTAATTAAAAAACAAACAAATGAGATTTATCCTGTCGTTAGACTGGGTACATGTTTAGTTTCTTTTTTTATACGTTCTTCTTCACTAGTCATTGATGAATTTGAATTTGATGATGATGACCATGGTTTTAAATTTTGTAATGCATTCAGTGATGAACTAGTTAAACATATGGAATCATTAATGGGAACAGTTGGAGCTGGTTCTTGTATTGTTGACTCATAAATAGTGTTAGTAGTCTTTGTATCATGATGTTGACAATTTAACATTAAACGACTTGCCGCTTGTCGTTCTTGTTCGCGTTCTTCAGCTGTCTGACGTCTTAAAAAATAATTACAATATATTTATTTATTTTTTTATCCTCTAATAGAAAAAGAGAGAAATTCTATTTATTACCTCCATTTTGTTCGACGATTTTGAAACCAAGTCTAAATAGTAAAAGAAATGAGGTTAATAATTTTGAATATTTGTAAAAGACAAGAATTTTTACTTTAACTTGAGCATCCGTCATTCGCAAATTTTTTGCTAATTGTGATCGTTCAGACGATGCTAGATACTTTTGACGATGAAAACGTTTTTCTAATTCCATTATTTGTAATCGTGTAAAGGACGTACGAGGCTTTTTTCGCTTCGGTGGTGTACGATTCTGATATGGATGACCAATACGTCGTTGAGCATTATAAACTACAAAAAAAAAGAAAGCAACACATTCGGCATATTTCAGTTGATCTTGTTAACTAATGATAGAAACAGTGAGTATTTTTTCTATTAACGTTGATTATTTATACTATTCTGCAAGTTTCAGTTTATCCAAATGGTATTCTAAACGATTAACTCGAAAACATGCAAAGATTTATTTCTCTTAATAGTGGTAGAAGACCAGATATAGTGAAATGTATGAAAATGAAACGCATAGTTATATGAACTCGAGAGATCAATAAGCATGTTTTACATTTGAAATTAATATAAAGTGGTGGTGATCAGGAAATATACCGATTATTTACATATACAATCATCGCATGACGTTTTCCATAAAAAAAATGAGAAAGAGAGAGAGAAAGTTGAGAGAGAGAGAAAATGCATCAATTTGAAAGAAAACATGGAAGTACAAAATAACAGATAGATAGTAGAATAAATGTTTTAGATTTTTAACTGACATCACGTCAATTTTTTTCTTAATAGTGAAATAAAATGTTTATATTGACTAATCATAGTGCATATGAAAAGTAATATGGAACGAGACAATGCTACTACGGTTGTAACGTCACCGTCATGATTCATGATAAAATCAGTTAAACATGTTGAAAGTTAAAAGAAACTTAATTTCAATACGATGAGTGTCCTTTTAACTATTCAGCCCACACTTTTTTCCATGACTCTCACTCCTGGAGCTGCTATTCATTCTTTTTCTACTATTTTTAGTACAATGTCATAGCGTCGAGAATCTTTTTCATTGTGTCTGTTTTGTCACCATTGATAAGTGAAAAAGCACTTGAATAAAAGTATTATTATTTCTTATGGTTAAACATTTAATTTCATTTTTCTGGAATTTCACTGATTATTAGTATTCACTGAGCCATTAAGTTTTTTAGAATATGATCCAGGTTATTGTATCATTCCATAGAAAATGAGAGATCCACTAATTTTTGGCATGCTATATGGAAGATTCTGATTAATTTTTTATTCATTATACTATATATTAGCCCTATTTATCTAATTGATTATTTTCTCTTACGGTAAAATGATAAAAAAGCGAATATATGTAATTCCTCAAGCTATTTATTCCTTCGAAGAAGTAGAGTGTGATACACTAGGCGAACCGTTATCATTTGAGACAGGTTGTAGTTTGCCTTATTATGGTATAGATGAACAGAATTACTTTATATTAAATTAAATGTTCTGTTAACATTCTACTTTTAGTTGTTTAACGACACTCATTTTGTATAAATTGGTTTGCGCAATTGCTTTAAATTAAACGAAATCAGTTCGTTATACCGATAATGATGAGGGATGAGGGTGAGTTGTTCGTTATAGGTAATTGACCTAACTCGATTAGTTCGAGGAGTTACGACAGAATATTTCAGAGCTTTAGACTTTTTCAGTCTTACAACCGCAGACTGCTTCATCAAAATTCGGATATGAAAGCTCATTATCATCTTCTTTCGTAATAAGTACTGATATTTAATCTTATAAACAACAGCAAACAATACTATTCCTAGAAGAAGTAACAATCAGATTTCAATTGTTTATAAACTTCGAAGTATATGTAAACTGTCACTTACCGGAAAATCGATCTTTTAATATGGAATCTGTTTGTATCCATGGATATGTACCATTAACAATTGGTAAGAGTGTCTGATAGTTATGTCTGTAGAGTAATGAGGATGATGATGATGGTGTTCGCATTAAACTTTCATAATTTGAATATTGAAATGAGTCTGATGATGTGAGAAGACTACTAGTTGTTGGTATAGGACAAGCGATCGAAAAATTTGGTATTTGATTGTTAGTTGATGGTTTTGGAGATGTAAGACCATTTGCTAAGGAAGTTTGTGATGCTTCAGATGTTTGAGATGATGATGACGTTCGACTGGGTGACAACGGTGATATCGGTGGTACAGACAATGAAGTAGAGCAATCTCGTTCAGATTTGATTTCTGATCGAATTGTCGTTTCTGGAGGTGATGGAGATTTTTCTGATAAGATTTCTCTTTGTGATAATAGATCAGATATACGAAAACCAAGTTTTTTGATTGTATCGGACATCTTTTAATTTTCACAATTTCAAAAATGTACTAAATTAGAAACAAATATTCAACACTTCACCCCTCATTGTTTTTAGAGTTCTCGTTCAGTTTTAATAATCGACAAGGTAAGGGTTTCACCTGCTATGAAAGAAAATCCAAAACATTCAGTACTACATTCAACAATATAAGGTTAACCATATAAGCCAACTGCATTCGTTTCTCTCAAGGATCTTTTTCTAATTTGTTTGCTAGTATCAGTACTATCAGGCAGTAGACAATTTGCAACTATCCTTTTTGATTACTTGTTTCTCTCTTATCTAGTCACTCACCCTACCAAAAACCAGGACAAAAAGAAAAATATCACTCAATCGATTAACGAATAATTTGTTTTACGTTTTTTCAACAAGAAAAACCGCTTCATTCTTGAAAAAATCTTTGATTCCATTACTGTTATTTCAGAAAATGGTTGTATGTAACTAAGATTCTTTCAATCAAAATTTATTGCGTCCACTTACTTGAAACAATTTAATTCATTTCACTATGATTTGTTTTGCAGTTTGTCTTGATCTGCAAATCTGTAGAGTAAAATAATTTAGAAATTAAAATACAATCCAGCATCTTTTGAACCTAATGATCCATATAAAGAAGAAAAAATAAAAAATTATTAAAGTGTTGAATTATTCCAACCAATCGTATCTTTTATATTGTTATCTATTTTTCAGACATATGCAAACGTTATTCAAAGATTTTTTCGTCTCTTTTCTGTTTTATTTATTTCTATTTCTATTAAACGATCTGCTTTTGCTCAATAATTATAGATATACGCAGACATGGGAAAAGAGAATGGTTTCATTTTTTTCTTTTTCTAATTATTGAGCTATATCTATCTATTCTTTGTGGTTAATGTACCAACTAATGTAATTGGAAGATCTATATCAAGATATATGTTTTCCTTATTTGAATATTGAATGATATGTTGTTTCTTTATCTGTTTCCAATTGGCGAGAATATATTTTTTATTAACCAATGTCTCTATTATCACTTTTCTGTTCTTTTCTTTTTTTGTATTCTTCTTCTATATATTCCATTTTTAACAGAAATCAAAACTAAAACGATATTAGTGTGATTGGAGAGAAAGAAAGAGTATAGAAATCAAAAATGTTTAATCAATGACAGAATAGATATCTAATTAGATTGATAGAAAACAGAACAAAAGAATTGAAAGAAATCTATGACGAATCATTTATTCTCCAAAGAGATTTGTTTTTTTTCTATCAATTTATAGCTGTTGAAAAGAGGAGAAAATGAAAATGATGTTGAGTGATTGCTCATGGAAAGTCTGGTAACTGTTACTTATCACCGGACAATAGATTTCATAGTGGGAATAGCGACGAAAAAAGGGTCTTTTCTACGCAGAAAAGCTCTGACAAGCAAGAACAAGTACAAAAACTTTTTATGTAGATATTCAGAAATTATTAAGGCCGCCAAGTCAAACTTAGACACATTCTGACAATTGCGATACACAAAGAATAAGTTTTGAATTAAATGTGGAGTAAAATAAACGGAGATTTTAAGAAAAGCTCTATAAACATCGTCTATTAGAGCAAGTGTCTATATATACCAATGAGAATGTGTATTTCTTATATTAATTCTATTAGCGATCTAGAAGAATCCTTAAAAAATGTATGCCTTGAGTTTATTTTTGGAATAAGTTCATGTTTTTAGGAAACACAGAGAAAACATTTGTTTCACGTCTAATTTAAGGTTAAATGATCAGGGATGTCGCGACATTCATATCTTCGAGTGATGGTGAATGGATCGCAAAACCGTCGCAGATGTAGTATGGAAGTCTGTTGCTTTCTCCTTTGCTGACAAAAAACAAGATTTTTCAATTACGGTGCAGTTTTGTCTTCACTGGAACATTGCAACATTCGTGCAATTAAGACAAACTATGAAACTGTAAGTAGTCGAAGACTTAGAATGATTCATTCATATCATGTGTTCGTGCAACATGAATAAACTATTACACGTCGTAAACGTTGTCTTTAAGAAAATGCATAGTACAGAACGGAAAAGGATTTTTGCCTTTGCAACTATAAAATGCGACCTTTTTGTTTTGATCTTTCGGTGAACAACCGTTTTGACTTTGTGTAAGACAGCTTAGATACAAGTCACAGAACGAATGGATATTTATCAATTAATCCGTTTGACCAAAAAACCTTATTTTATAGTTTATTGATAATTTCGAATGATACGTATCCTTTAGTTTTTCATGAAGATCTTGTCCACCAGGCTAATCATATTTAATAATTGTACAGAGTTAATATTGTTTAGTTTAAGCTATTTTATTAACAAAGGAACAAAGGGGAGACTACATCAAAATAATACAAATTTTCAAAAAGTGAAGATGCGCTGAGACATTGCACCAAACGATCTGAAACAAATGATTATGAAGGAAAAGTAAAGAGGGAAATAGAGAAAAGAAAGGATAATATAGTGATATGTGAAATGAGGAGTGCGTATATAAGATGACAATGTCATGATAAGTAAAATGAAAATCAAATAAAACTATAAAATTAGAATAATCAAACATGAGAGAAGGAAATTATTAGGAAAAGTTATGCGATCTGTGTCGTACTAAATCTAGTTCTCAACGGAATTAGATGCTTTAAGAAATGGAATAACTACTAGATAAATAATGTTATATTCTCAATTCATGTATTATTATGATGCAGTCTCTTGTTCTTTGGTTAATAAAATTGCTTAAACTAAACAATACTTCAATATTCTACACTATATTGACTCTGTACAGCTATTAAATGTTATTAGTCTGGTAGACAAGATCTTCATCTAGAGGATAATTATCATTCGAAATTATCAACAAGATGCAAACTGAGTATTCATGGATCATCTTCAAATAGGCACCATGCTATTCAAAAGTTTGAAAACCACATTAACGGGATACATCATCGATTACCCAGATGAAAATTCGTCGAGTAATGGGTCATTGTGAAATCTAGATTATATTATTAAAGTTTTTGAACGCTGTTGTGGTATAGATTAAAAATGGAAATAAACAATTCATTGATGATCCATTTAGCTCGTTGACGAACTCGGTTTTATTTTAACAAATAACATAGAAAACAACAAAAACAAAACTTTTACGTTAAATCTGTGTTAAAATCATAAGAATCATTGTTATTCGACGTTGTGATTTTTGCTGGTGCTAATTTTATAATGGAATCTAAAGCATCACTAAGATGCGACACCGATTTTTCTAAAGTAGAAATAACTTATTTAAGTTTGATATTAAATTAAAATTTAAAGGATTTTAACTATGAACGAGAAGCTGATAGTATGAATACAAAGCTGTCTCATGTTGAATAAAAAGCAAGGGAGAAAAAGCACTTTTTTTAGTATAGCACCTCAGCACCTTTTCGGCATCTGTTGGCACCTTTCAGCACCTTAATCGGCACTAGGTGCTACTTTTTCCCCCTTGATAAAAAGTCAACAATAAAAAGTCTTACATTAAAAAACCAGCGCATTTGAGAGATAACGATGACTTATGAGAAAGCAGGTAATAAACACATCTTTGTGTAAAAAGCAACTAATACGTCCGTTAAAAATCATCGTTTGAGGCTCCTATCCAGTGAGAAATATAAATTTTCCCACAAAAAGTAAATTTTGAGCTAGTAAGTAGTGTACTATAGTTCAGTAAAATAACATGTTGAAGTGTATCCAAAACCGTTTGACTATGAGGAAGTGAGAAGGCTATTCGATTAGTATTGAAAACTAAGTGACCTTCTCACGGTTGTTTTTTTCTCTCTGAATTAACGATAATAACATTTCTTCTACAAAAGAGAAAAAACAGACCAATATATTATTGTTATTACCCGATCGTTTCATATTCTTTTTTAATTTTTTAAATTCCTGACGTCTTGTCATATTTGAACGGTTTATCAAACGGCGCGTACTATCATCTTCATGTTTACTAGCTAACTCGGCTGCTTTTTGTTTGGATAATTTTTTATTATTTCTGTCTGCTACTTGAACGGTAAAACGAACCTAAAAGGATATATTTAATAGAAATACAAATAAATGGCATAATTCAATATACATACGGTTTTTGATGGCTTTTTATCAATATCCGTTGTCGATGGTTCTTTATCAATATCCGTTGTTGATTGCTTTTCACTACTTATATCTGTCATTTTTTCATCATTATCATCGGCATCAGAGTTTTCATCAGTATCATCCATGTCATCCACGTTATTATCATCATTTTCTTCACTATCATCGTTTTCAATTTCTAAATCCATATTTGTCATGGCTGATGATGCCATCTGTATACCTGTTAGTGGCGTATTTCGCAATTCTATAAATAGATAATAAATACTTATATTTTTCGAACATCACAAGTTGTACGTACCATTTAAATGTTCACTTTCAGTTGCTAATAATGCATCGATATCAAATTCATCATTCATTTTATCTACTAGTTCTGTATGAATTATTTCATTACGTTCAGGTGGTTCAGTATAATATGTCAATTTTCCACTAAACACAAAAATAAGAACTTGATATTGTAATTGCTTCAAAAAAGTATGACAGACGATATACTTTGTCCAATCGGATAGTACACGTTGAGCCGCTAATCGAACATCAGCTATGCCTCCTTTTTTAAAATTGCCCATTTTAATGGCCATTTTTGATAGAAATTCATTTACATCTTGAAAATCTGGTAAATTGTATTGTAACATCATCTAGTAAATCGAAAAAGAAAAGCAATTATTACTGTGGATTGTTCCACTACTTAACTGTATTACATACTTGATCTTTATTACAACGACGTAGCAACAATTCAACAGCAGGAATTGGATTATCAATCGTTTCAATCTAAACAGGTATCAATCAAGTGTAAAAGAGCACTGTTGTTTGATCTATGGTGTAGATATTACTTACTCGCACACAGTTTTTCAATATAAGACTGGCCGGATCCGTTTCTTTTGATAGAACAATACCAGGACTATCGAATAATTTAATAAGTTTATCCAATTTTACTGTTTGCATTTGTCTAAACAAACATGAACGATCATTTCAAAACAACACACAAATAGCAAAATCAACTAAAGTTTACTTTGTTATGCCAGGTGTTGAACCTGTTTCACATGCTTGGGATCGTTTAAGACTATTGATGACACTTGATTTGCCAACATTTGGAAAACCTAAAGTGAACAATGTCAATGTCATACAACGTTAAATTAGGCTAAATGGAGTACCTACCGACAATACCCACTGTTATACTTGTTTTAATATCATTTTTTCTACAATAATTTGATAATAAATTCATTAATGTTGCAGCACCAATACATTTGTTTGACGATTTCAGAATATCAGCATTACACGCTTTGACTGATAAATTAATATGACCCTATAAAGAGATGGCTGACATCAAATAATTCACTAGCTGTTTTTACATACTAGACGATCACGTTGTGTTTGTGTTGATGATCGAAATGCAATAGTTGGAAATTCATTACGTAGATATTTTAACCATTTATCAAGATTATCTCGAGGAATAAGGTCTACAGAGAGAAACAAAATAGCAAATGAAAAGTTTAGAAAATAAAGAACTAGACAAACCTATTTTATTCAATAGAAGAATTAATTTCTTTCCTTTACCAGACGTTAAAACACCTTCTTCTACCTGTCGACAACGTGAACCAAGTGGATCGCGTGCATCGAGTACTTGAATAACAATATCAGATGCATCAACAACCTAAATTTGGCAAAAATAGAGACGAAAAATAATAGTAGTCTATATTAAATATCACTATTAACCTTCTTAAATTCTTTGTAAAATATTTTACGAGATTTTTCTTGCATAAATGCTGATTTATCTGCAGATTGTTCTTGATCGTCATTATCATGTTGTTGTGCAAAGTGTATTTGCCGTTTTTGCGCATCATTCACTAGTGATTCTAATGTCGTTGGTCGTTGTTGTTGTTGTTTCTGTTTTTGTAGTATTCGTTGATGTTTTTTCAATTCTTTTTCTTCTTCTTTCTAAAACAGTGAACAAGCTGTATGACAATGTCTGCCCTGGAATTAGAAGGAGGGAAAATGTATCCTACCTTCTTCTTCGCTTGTTCAGCTTCCTGTAATAATTCTTCTTTGAATGGTGCTAATTTTGGTATTTTAAAATCTTTTGAACGTTTTTCTATGCACATAGTACAGTTATGAATGATGAAAGAAACGAATATGAAGTCTTCTTACTTGTTCTCTCAGGATGTTTCTTTGCTTCTTTGCGCATTTTTTTCTTATGATCACGTACCTAAAAAAAGATTTTGGTGTTATCATGATTCAGAAAAAAAATATCTCTAAAACACACACAAACCTTTTTTTGAATACTATATCGATGAGCACAAGTAACACGCTTACTTTTTCTGTCTTAAAAGAAATAAACAAAATTGTAATTAAACCTCGTTAAGTAATGAAAAACGTTTTTGTCAGGTAACTGAAAGGAAAACAGCAAAATGGGACGTTCATACTCTGTTGTAATGTGGATGAAAGTATGAAGGAGTGAATATGTCTTTTGAAGTACACGTACTTATTTTGACCATAACGTTCAAATGAGATAGTTATCTAGAAAGAAAAAATGTTTAAATGTAGAAAACAATTTCAAGAATTTCTTGCTCGATGTCATTAATAGCAGAGGTGGGCAAGTCCCACAAAAATCTTTTTTTGGCAAGTCCAAGTCAAGTGCAAGTTCGAGTCGAAGTTCTTCATATTTCTGTACTATACAGTACGTCATAATCATATATGACGGGTAAATAAATTTTATTCATACATTGATGCATGTTTGACAAAAATAAGATTAATAAATTAGGTATCAGATTATACTCAATCCGTTGTTGAATGTAAAAAAGATTTTAACTCATTGGACTTCAAACAGACCTGATAAAAAAATCCCAAGTCCATCAAAAAAACCTTCAAGTTCGGACTTGGACTTGCCCACCTCTGATTAGTAGTTCTGAAAGAAGAAACTCGACTGACTTTGACTTGGGTTCAAAACCGGGACAATAATCGTAATATAATAATATTGACTAAATGTGAGTATGATAAAGCACCCAAAACAAAATATACCTTGTAAAAGTGTTATGTACATAGCTGATATTCTTGCAAAAAGTCCTGTTACCACTAAAGATACATGTGGAGTAACAGGAACTCATAATGTACACTATACTAAACACAGTTAGTCAAAGAAAAGTGGAGAAAATATCCCAAAAGTTTCTTCGTACTATAACTTGTATTCTCAATAATAATTATTCTAATAAAAGATCTTTAGTTTTTATTCTTCATTTTCTTAGCATAATAACTGTTCTAAAAGAACAGACAAAAACGACAAGATTACAAAAATAATAGCATGATATTTATCTTTAAAAAGTCCAAATAACAAAAAACATTAAAAAAAACAAGCTTTTTTGACCAATGCTAGGAAGCTGTTTCATTTTGATAATTCTCTGTTTGAATATCATTTAAACCTAACATTTCGTTTTCTTCATGTGTACGTTCATAATGTTCAAGTGTCAATTGTGGATCAACATCAGGTGCATAAACATTTTGCACATAACAATTTCCCGCTGGATCATCTAAAACAATTGTAACAAATTTTGTCCCGCTTATTATTTGGTCAATATCATTCAGAAACTTTTTCATTTTATTTTTATCACTTGATTCATTCGAACTGTCACCACCACTAAATGGCATGATAATATTTGTTAATTGTGTTTTAATCATTGTTATAAAACCTTCAATTGTGGTAAAACGACCACCAACTGATGCTGATGATAATTCAAAATCGATATCAGGTATGGAAAATAAAGCTGTTTCGGACACCAATATATCTCGATTCAAATCCGATATATCAGTCATAGTTAAACGATAACGAATACCAGTTGCCGATATACCCGTACCTGATTTAACTTCGTTTGAACGCTGACCACAATAGTCACACGATGTTGCCATAATAATAACTTGTTTGAAATGCGGAATATTTGTTACTTTCATATTTGTATCGCATGGGGCGTTACATGATGGACAATTAGTTTGAAACAATAATATTTCTTCATCAGTTATTTCTTGTTGGTCTGGTTGCTTTATTTCACTCTCATCAATGCCTAATAATTCATTTTGTTCCGGTGTACGTTTATATTTTTTAATTATTGTTGTATCATCACGATACGGAGCAAAAGGATTTTCAATGCAACTATTACCACTTGGATCATTAAGTTCAAAATGAAATTTTTCTTCTAAATTCTTCATTGCCGTTAAACGTTGAACGAATGCTAAAAGTTTTGTCTTTTGTTCTTCGAATTCAGGTGAATCATCGTGATTTACACTATCAGTCACATGTTCTTTTGGATTCTCTTTCGTCTGTTGTTCATCGTGATTTAAACCATCAATGGTTTGTTCGACTTGTTTTACTGTTTTCATTATATTATCAATTACACTATCAAGAAAACCTAGAAAAAATGACTATGAAAATGAGTACGAATCGATGAGTATGAATCAAATACTTGAACTTTGAATTCAAGTGCATAGAATTTACTTTTGGATCAAATTTCCCAAAAGTGAATTCTGAGAAAATTTCGATAAAAAAACTCATATTAACACTACCTTCTATAGTTGTTAATGTTCCACTCTCTTTATTACATGGTTGTTCAAAACCTAACTCAGCTATGGCAATGCTACCGTAACCTGATCTAACAAATTGTCGATTTAAGTCTTTTGCATTTTGAACATAAACAGTAATACTAATGCCATATGGTTCAAAACGATTGGCTGGTTGAATGTCATTGTTTGTAAAATGACAAAATGGACATGTAAATGAACTAAGAATAACTTCTTTATAAAATGGTATACGCGTTAATAACAAACGTGTTTGACCTTGTTCATGGCAGTTCATACAAAGACTTTCAATTTCTGATAGTTGATTATCAATATCGTCAGCCGATAAGTTGGCAAACGGCTCTTGATTATGATTCGACATTGTGGTTGAAGCTTGAGGATCACTAGTCATGTTGGTAATGTACAGTTCTAAAAAAGACGAAAATTTATAGCAGACAATGTTCTTGTGAAACCTTTGCACATTCTTGCACAACAAAACTTGCAACGATGAGTCATTATAAAAAAACACATTTTTATGATGTAACATGAACAATGTAGTTGAGTTTTATTGTAACACTTTTACTGTAATTGCTACACATACGTAGTGCATTACAGCTATTATATTTTATTTATTGCGAATCCAGATACATAGTGCATGGTTCTTACAGCTATTATATTTTATTTATTGCGAAATCCACTTACGCTTGCACCGTCTCCGAGTAGTACAGTCATTATGAAATAAAAAATGTATTTTTATATAATATGTAAACTCAGACCTAAGAGATTTTCTCCCTTCATTTGACGATCAAAACAACCAAGCAGAAAAAGTAGTTCATCCTTTTTGTGCCGAAAGAAAAAGCGACATCTCAATCTGTGAATCTTAATCGGAATTAAATATCTGTGAATAAAAATTTTTAAGAAAAGTTCGACGGATAGTTTCTGTTTAGAAGGTTGTTTCCCGCTATCCGTCAAAGAGTGCCGTACGAGCCACTTTCTACGTGAAAAGACATAGAAAGTGACTGCTGACGGACATCTCTGAGGATTAGCCGGAAACAACCTGTTTAAAGGTTAAGGAGAATTGTTGTCAAGTTGAGTCTATTGATTGTCAAAACACCAGTAAAAACATGGAAGCTATTCGAATACACGAAAACTTCGGTAGGAACGTTGTTAGAAGCTATTGATAGGTAACTTCTTATATTGCAACGGGGTGGGAGGTTGTATCCCGCTATCCATCAAAAATAGCCGTTAGTTAATCGCCAAGGGGACTTTTAAAAAAGGCCAACCGTTAGTTCTAAAAATATGCCAAATGCTAGTATGAAAACGCGAACATTATGTTGATTTTGATCTTTCGTGGAGATAAGATGTTTAAGTATATTTAATATAATTGCAAAACATTTTTGTTGATGTTCTTCCCTGTTTCAACTAGTATATATAATCATCTCTCTTCTTCACAGTCATATTAGTCTGCTATGATACTGTAAAGTATCGAAAGCTCGCTTTTTATGTAAAATGATTTTACAAAAATGTTTTGCAATTATATTAAACTAGCTGAGGTATCCGGCGTTGCTCGGGAAAATTTGATATTACATACTTGACATATTAGAAAAAGACATCGTTATGGTCTCCTATCAGTTATCGGACTTCGATATCGCAAAATGCGCTCGGATCACTTTCCCTTTTGAACTGTTTTGTTTTCGTCATTTTAAACTTTTTAAAAACATTTTTATCCTTTTCGATGTTCTTTTTGTTTGATCGGCTTCTTTTATTAAAAAACGACTGCGTCCAATGAAATACAATTTTTATTGCAAAGCTGTTTAATACACAACATTCCTGGTTTTCGCACCAGGGGCAAAAATATACAAATTCTTCCCAGTTCCGACTGTTGAACACGCCACGTAAAGTTGGCCATGAGAAAAGCAAAGAGTTTCTCACCCTCACCCACGTTCAATGACACCCCACGTTCATCCTCACCCTCACCGACCCCATCTCGACCTTCCGCTGGACCTAAGGGTATGCCATGAAAAGTTTGGTGACGCTAGCTCTTACAGGGACCAAATGCATAAAGAACAGATACACAGACAAACATTCTTCTTTATATATATAGATAGATATACTTCGTTTTATAAGAAACGTTAAAAAGTCAGAATGTCAATAGATAAGATGTTTATCTGTTAAACTTTAGTGGACTGCTTTGCTTCATAAATAGTAAATTTTGAGAGTAAATCGATAACTAAAAATGTTTTTCGGCAGACACGTCTGAAAAATTTCAATTTCTCTTAATTTATCATGAATCGGTAATTTCGTATTTTACGAATCGGGGTTATTCGCTGGCGGCCATCTTTTGTCGCTTATCGAAAGTTTGAATAAACCATAAATTGATTTTTGTTAAAAATCTATCATGATTTTCGTAGCAGTATCGTAGCTCAATAGTTTCTAGATTTATTTCTACTGCTCCATCTTCAAATTATTTAGCTCAACTTTTCGGTGAGATATAAAGCGCGCGTAATTCAAAGGTCGAGCAGTATTTTGTTTTCTCGATATTCTTGCATATTTGGATAGAAGAGAATGCGCTGACTTCGAATATCACTTTTTTTTGCTTCACGACCTTTCCTTCGCGGTGAAAAACGCATAATACGAAAAGGATTCTGAAAACGCGAAAATCAGTCCTTCGAGAAAACTAAGTCAAGTTTTCGCCCTTTCCATTTCGAAGCTCTATACCTTTGGTTTTCGGATTTAGCGTGTCAAACTGCCTATGAAAATGTGTTTTTGAAGTTCTCCACATATTACTGTCTGTAACGCTTTTTCATCCATTGCAGTCACTTTACAAATGGCTACAAAGGGCATGAAAATTACCAAAATATTCCGATGAAAAGCTATTATAGACAGCCGGGAGATATCTTATTTTGCTCAGAATTCTTTGCTCTATAAGGCTATATGGTTAGCAAAATTTTCTCACTAAAAACCAAAGACTTGGTTTTCAAGCGGTCAGGTTTTCCTGAAACCCTATTATTAAATTTTCTCATAAAATGGCGATATGTACCTCATCTGATAGAAAAATCTTCGGGCTATTCAAAACAGTATATTACTTTTTTTTGTGTGTTATTTAGTTGATACCGGAAAACCAATCATCTCTATTTTGAAAAACATTTGCCCGATAATCTTGTATTAAAAAGAATAACATTTGAAAAAAGATCACCGAATATCTAGGATTTAGTATTATTGCATATGAACATTGTTTGTTTTCGATTAATGATTTATTCGTTCAAGATAGGCAACAAGGTGAACTAGCACAAATGTAAATTTTTGCGTTTTATACAATATATTCATATATGTATGTAAAATATTTTTAACCAGATTTAAATGATGATAAAAAAATGCTTAAAAAAAGAGAATAAATAATGGTGTTAGTGAATTCCGTACAATATTTCTTTACTTGATTGTCTAACAGAAATTCATCGCTTTTAAAATGTCTATCATGTGTTTATTCATCACTAGAAACTCCTTTCTTAAGTTTTTTTACAACTGATTATCCATCCTATTAACTGCTAAAAATTATACAGTATAGGATCTCTATAAGGTTCATGTGTACAAAGTATGCTTGACATTCACAGTATAATATAAACATGTTTTTTGTTATTTTCTCGTTTCTAAGAATATACCGGTTCATTAATGATAGATAGTTTTAACAGAAAACAACAAACACAAACGACATATAAACCTATTTTCTTCTGTTGTTTTTGTCGTTTACAACACGAGCATTAAACTCATAACATATCGTGGTAATCATTTTCCCATTCTACCATTAATGATTGAAAGGAAGATGGGACTGACTGACAAGTTTTATTCGATTCACACTCAATATCAACATCAAATTTATGTTCTCCTCTTTCTATTCTTTTCATCCTTTCATTCTTATATATATTTTTTTTTGAGAATTACGATATTTTCTCGATGTTGAACATTGCCTAATTTTTTTGTTGGTTTGTTCCTTTGAGAACTAAACGCTATTGTAGAACTTGTGTGTATCTAAGTATGATTCTTTTTTTTTCATCTAAAATGCAAATCACTTGAGAGATCGACAATGTGTATTTGCATCCGGACTTGAAAAACTACCACGTCATTTTTTCCTGAAAAGAAAAACTTCATCTTTTCCAAATTTGTTGATACTGCCATCTGTTTTGCTGGATCATACGTGTCAACACTGATTATTATCGTTATAAAGATGGAGATAGATTATTTTTTTGTACCATTTACTTAGATTTATTTCTTTTCAATAAATAATAAATATCCAGTTTTGCAATATGGCAGATACAGAACTTTTACACTTTTCTCTATTTTCTTAACGAGAAGTTTTGAAGAGCGTCACCCGTTTGATACTTTAGCTCGATAATGATTATTGATTACATCTGTTTACTCATCATGAACGGAATTCTTTTTACATATGATGTTACTATGAATGTTCTGTTTCGAACTTCAATCAAATTACATCTTTTTATCATTTATTATCAGTTAAGAGAAGAAAGAAACGAAAGTGGAAATGTCAATATAAAATACATAAAAACTTGTTCGCTTCACTATTAGCGGTTTATTAGCTCGTTATATTCTTAATGAACTACGTATGATGTAATAATCTTATTGATATAAAAAGAGAATATTATCTATTTTATCTATACGTATTGGCATTAAGAAAAGAAACTAATTCTCGAACTTACAAAAACTGTGTATTTATTCAGATACATATTTGTTAATAGAGAACATGAGACTTTTATAGTACAAATATAAAAAGTGGTGTATGAGAAAGTGTAGGTTATATGAAAAACTGTTTTTTTGTTAGCAAATGCAAAATAAATAATTTTAAGTTTTTCTGCCAGTTACACATTTTCACTTTTTTCCAGAGGGTTTTATTAATTAAAAAAAAATATTTCAGTTATCTATTTGTTTTAATGAATGAATAAATGGATGTTAAAGAACTATATTTTTTTCTAATCTGCATTAAAATGGTTCTGTGTCCTTGTTCGAAATAATCGAAGAATATATAAATTTAAAGACGATACGCATAATTGTCTAAAGCAGAAAAGTAGAAATATAGAATATTTTATATATTCTAATGGGTTGATGTGAAAGGACATATTTATATAGCTATCCTCTTTTCATCAAATAAACGAAAGTAATTACGTTGAATTATTATATATTCTGTATTCCATTTCTCTTTCATGTAATGGATAAGGCAAAAGTTCTGCATTAATTTTTTGTTTTTGATATAGCGTTGCGATAGAACGTCGTAGAGACTTCATCCTTTTTTTGTTAGAAAGAGCAAAGTGTCTCGTACAAAAATATATAAAAGTGTTTGATCGGAAATTTCGAGTTTTATAATGTAAGAATAGGACACTATTGCTGTACAAAAAAGAAATT